AACTTAAAATTAAAACCATGCGAGTGATTAATACATAATTGAATCCATTGTTCAAACTTATCAACTATATCAATAAGAGTTTAATCATCTCAAACTCTTTCTTTTATTATATTAAACAGTCCAACAAACTATTTTTTTGTATAATAACACGATGAAAATCTTTTCAAATAACCAATGTTATATAAAGATTACGACAAGTAGTACCTGAAGATGTTGAAACACTTCCGGCATCGCCGTGTGATAGTGTAACGTCTGCATGTCATTCGTCTTTTGCAGCTGATTCGCATACTCCGTTTTGGCTTCCTCGCTCTGCTGGGTCTTCATAGTCATATTCATCCTCTGCTTCTCGACCTGTTCGTTGTAAAAAAAAAAATCGATGAGAAAATGATAAAAAAAAGGAAAATGGAAAATGATGGGAAAAAAATCGATGAGAAATCATGAAGATTCAATATTCATCAATTATTTTTAATTGGGAAGGAAAATAAATTAAGATTCTATCTGATTCACTGTAATGATATTATAAACTTTTTCTCTCAATTATATATCCATCAGAAGTTGAATTTCTCCTAGAAAAAAAATCGACGTAAGAAACTAAATAAAGCTAAGCACGATGCAAAAGTTAAAGGAATTTGTCACATACCGATTAGGGGATTTATTACCGTACCTCTGCTCTCGAGAGATTGAGATCCGCGTCCGCTCGCTGGTAGTTTTCCACAGCGCGCTCCGCCTCGCGGAAGGCCTTCTCGTAGGCCTTCCTGGCGCGCTCCAGATTGCCGATCTGACCGGCCAGAGTGGCCATCAATCGCGCACCTTCCTGGAGATGTTTTTTGCGATCCTCTTTGAAATCTTTAACCAGAATGTTGAGTTCCCGCAGAACGTTGGCTTGGAGATTCTCCGCGATCACCTCTCGCTGACCGGCCTGATCGTTCACCTCGTTCAACTCCATCTTGAACGCTCGGCAGGGACTATACCTGAAGAAAATACAAGCTCCGTTCCTTCCTCTTCTT